CCATCCATCCTTATTGTTGCAGCATCCACGGACGGCTGATGTGTGTGCCCGCTTACCTGATGGTTGCGGCCCTTCTTGCCAGCTGGCCCGCTGCCGCCTTGGTCCCCTCGCGCGCCGCTGGCCATGACTCGACGGACGGCAGAAGGGCGGCCTTACTATTTGAACATACGCTTACTCACAGACAGACGCTAGCTAGAACGAACCGGGAAGGGTTCGCGCCGCGCGGCTCGAGGCTTTCTTACGCGGCCTTTGAAACGAAGAAGGGAGAAAAACGACCACCACCACCACCACTGGGAGCAGACGGCACAGCCACACTCACACTCGGCACCGCACCGCGACGACGCCCACGCCCGCCAGCACCACTGTCGCGGCGCTGCCCTCGGCCCCGGCCCCCCCGGCCGCGACCACCCTGAGCCGCCTGGTGTGCCGCGCGACACGAGTTGTAGGAGTCCTGACCATCCCAAAAGGACAAAGGAAAAAGGAGTGTGAAATCCCGAATTGCCCTCCCCTCCCCTCCCACCCCACCATGTGCTGTGTCCCTCCCTCCCTCCCTTGTATTGGTCCACTGAGTCTGACGGCTCATCCGTCCTCCGGATCTGCAGCACCCATCCATCCATCCATCCTCATTGTTGCAGCATCCACGGACGGCTGATGTGTGTGCCCGCTTACCCGATGGTTGCCGCCGCCGCAGCCACCGCCGCCGCCCTTGTTACCACCTGGCCCGCGGCTGCCTTGGTCCCCTCGCGCGCCACTGGCCATGACCTCGCCGGACGGTAGAAGGGCGGCCTTACTATTTAAACATACGCTTACTCACAGACAGACGTTAGCTACAAGGAACCGGGAAGGGTTCGCGCCGCCAGCACCAGACGCACCGGCAGCCGCCGCATTCGACGCACTTGACGCACTCAGACCCGACGCGCCACCACCAGCACCCGCAGCAGACGCACCACCACCACCACCACTTGGAGCAGACGGCGCAGCCACACTCACACTGGGCACCGCACCGCGACCACGCCCGCGCCCACCACCACGCCCTCGGCCCCGGCCCCGGCCCCCCCGGCCGCCACCACCCTGAGCCGCCTGGTGTGCCGCGCGAGACGAGTTGAAACTGTCCTGACCATCCCAAAAGGACAAAGGAAAAAGGAGTGTGAAATCCCGAATTGCCCTCCCCTCCCCTCCCACCCCACCATGTGCTGTGTCCCTCCCTCCCTCCCTCCCTCCCTCTCCTCGCTTCCTTGCCCATAGATCTCTCTGGCCGTGGCGCCCCAAGCCCACCTACCTGGTTGTAGATGTGACGGTGTTATGTGGCCGCAAATACACAAACACACACACACATGGATCCATCCATCCGTCCATC